ACTTTGAGAGGAAAGGATCTATTTCATCTTATACTTCCAGGTAACAGTCCATAGCTGAGGGGTGTCGGAGCAAGAGCTCAAGCAGGGCAGGAAGTGCAGCAGAAGATAAGAAGGATCACTGTTTCTTGACTGGCTCAGCCTGTTTTCCTGTATCCCCGAACCACCTGCCCAGGGATGGCACCATGCAAATGTGCTTGGCCCTCCCACATCAATCACCTAGTAAGAAAATATGTCACAGACTTCCCTACAGGCCAGTCTTATTGAGGACATTCTCTCAATTAAAATTCCTTCTTCCCGCATATGTCTAGGTTTGTGTCAAGTTGACAAAACCCAGTACACTATGTATAATTGTCCAAGCAAAGCATTTTAAATAGTGACTTAGCTTTATACATCTAGGAAATTCACACATGGGGGATGGAGCCAACTCATTGGTGCGCATCCTCACAGAGAAGGTATGAAGAGTAGACATACGCATGGAATCCCCACTTGCGGTGGGGTTTGTGCCTTCCAGTTGCTATCTCGCTAATGAACCTGAGCGCTCTTAAACTTACAGCTAATAAGCAGAGGGGAGCTTTAGGGGAAATGTTCTGCTCGGTTGTGAGCTGGTAATTCATCAGTGCCGTATAATTTAATTTGCTGAACGGTAAATGCCAGCTGCCAGATCACGTGGTTGGGAAAGTGGGCCACTGATTCGGCAGCCAACAGTGTAGATGAAATCAATCCCATCGCATTGAAGGTGGAATTGCCCATGCTGCAATTACCCAGTGAGGAAACTATGAAAGCATGGAGTGTGTTTTGGCAAGTGTCTTCAGCCATGTGAGACAGAGAGTCCTGCGAGAGAGGATCTTGTCATTGTCGAAACCACACTCTCTCGCAATAATACAGCCCATGGCTCTGCTTCCAGCCACAGCCAGGAACCACATCTCAATAGTTGTATTTAAAGTCTGTGTCAGGGCTGAAACAGCCCTATAGGAAGTCAGGTTTCTCTGGCTCACATGTGTGACACGGCTGTACAGAAAGAACTCTTGCCTGGTCTGGGTGACTAATGTAATACTCCTAGAAATGTAGATGTGTTAGATGCATAAATTCTCAGAAAAGACAAAGGTTTTTTTTTCTAAGTGATTTAAATCCACCTGCAGAATAAAATGCAAACTCTCAAGTCTTCCCCACAATGGAGAGCCATCATAACAGAGAGTCCCCCACCCCTAGGCTAGTAGTCTGGGGTCCTGCCATTGTTCTCTTTGTCATATGTCCCGTTTCTGTGCATGCTAAGTTTCCCTTGCTTTCAGACTTGAAACATTTTGAAATTGTGAATGTCGCCACATGAATAGCTAAGACCTTAGAAGTTTCCTTCCTTCCTCGACATTTTATTGGCTAATCAAATAATCCAACATGTTAGAATCCTACCTAAGCAGAAATTGAAAGCTCTAGTTGTATGCCCACGTGTGTGCTTCTCTGTCCCTAATATGTGTTAGTTTACCACTCAAGGTCTTTATCTCAAAAGTTTCAAGATTATCGTCTGTGTGTATAGATGTTTCTATTAAGTAGCCTCCAGAAAAGTGTGAATATGAAGCTATCAGCATTGTGTTTGTGTGTGTGTGTGTGTGTGTGTGTGTGTGTACACAGGTGTCTCTCAAAATTTTTATCTGCTTAAGCAAAATAGAAGGGCTAGGAACAGCTTTCTGGTTAGCCCTTCCTGCTGAAGCCTGTGGGCTCAATCTCCTGCTGTGGGAACTCTTTCAACCAATAGCCTTTAAGATAACAGCCTACTTTTGGTGTGGTCTTATGTACTATAAATGCAGATGAAAAGCATTTACTGGCCTCTTGGCTGCTGGATTCATTTCCAGTTCTCAGTACACACAGAGGACTGCAGATTGCTACCCTTTCTGTGAATCTGTCCCCTAATCAATAAACATTTGTTCTACTCAATTCCAAGCTATTTGAAACTCTTTGGTACACCAACAAATTGACATCTAATGTGGGGCCCAAGTTCACACCATTGCTGGGCCCTGCCCAGACCCCTGTCTATGGTATTCTCCCACCCCGTGCAATTGAACTACCCTTCTGCTGCTGAACTACTTCTCTAGCGCACAGCTGAGCATGGTTTGGCTCGGTAGGCCTGCCACAGTGACTTAGCAGTTTCCCACCATGGTCCATGCTACCTGACTTGGTCCTGTCTACTGCTGTCCACTGCTTTCTACTGCAACTGCTCTGTGGCTTCTCTGGCTTCTGCCAGGCCTGCTCTGATCAGGCTGAGCTCTGACTGGGAGCAGAGGCTCTAACCCTACAACAGGGAACACAGGCTTGCATTCCTAGTTCAGATCCATGAATGCCAAGCCCGATCTCGGGCCAGTAACCTCCACAGGAGGAGAAAAGCTATGGATACTATCAAAATTAATAAAGATTTGGTTTGAAAAGGAGAAACTTCTTGATAAAAAGAAATGACAGCTCATCCACAGAGGTGACAATCCTACAGGTTGTAAGGAAACCTCATAAGGGTTGGGGCAGGGTTCTGTTCTTGTCTTGGCAGGAAAATACCCATCTTCGAAAAGTCAAGAGACCTGGACATCTAGATGCTTAACTAAGAAAAGATAGCTATCCACAAAGAATCACGAAGCAAAGAGATCTGATTTATGATACCAATGTCCTCTGCAGGGTAAAATTTCACTACCTAAACATACATATCTCTCTACTTCTCAGTATAATGATAGTTTCAACTCATTTAAAAATTAAAACTGGCTTTGCAGCTGGACAGTAGACACTGTCCTTCTCTAAATCCAAGCATGTTATTAAAAGAAAAAGTCAGAATTTCTGTCTCATCTTAAGAGCCACCTGGTAATGGACAGAAGGAAGATAAAATTTAGGGACTCCTATTATCAAAACTCTGCTTTCACAAAATTTAACTTCTCTCATACCAATTTTTGTCTTTATGGTACCTTTCATTGAATATATGTCTATATGAATAATGTTTAAGTTTTCCCCAATGAACAATTAATTTTCCTGTAGTAATCTTTGAAGTTTCAATGAAGAATATGGGGCTCCACAGCAACCTGGTTGTTACAATGTCATTCTGATAGTACCACTTTAAGATTGGTTTTGGGTTACAAACTGCTCAAGATGATTCCAGCTTGGCTAGCTGAGATGGTACACCTCCTTATAACATTCTGGCCAGAACTTCAGATAAGAACTTCAGAAAAACCCTACCAACTATTCAGAGACTATCTGCAATTGTACCAGACAGTAATCTTGAAACTTAACCATCATTTCAGTTTTTACAGATTCCATAGAAATATCATCACCCCCATGAGAGTTGAATGTAATTCTAGAAAACGATGTCCCATCTCCCAACATAGTTTGTCCTCAGGACTAGGGACATTATTAGGGGTTGGTTATAACTGATATAGGATTGGGGGTATAAATGAAGTAAACTCAAGGATCTCTCTTGAAAAAAAAAGGAATAGATGGGATGGGATAATAGGTAGATTACTGTGAGCTTACTCACACTAATAATAATAATAGTGAGTAATAGTGAGATTATTTGTGAGCTATTACTTATAGACAAATTACATTGGTATAGATTCTTGTATATTGATATAAATTCAAATTATATTTTTATATACAAATTATATTTGTTATATTCAATTATATTGAATATGCTCCTATTTCTGTTTACAATATTTGTGCACCTTTGCAAAGTTATTTTGTCATATTGTATGCCTGCATGTTTCTACCTTTGCTTAAAATATTTTTCATATTGATGCCATCTTAGGATATATTTATCACATTGTACTATACAATGAGTTTATCCCCTAAGAAATAGATCTTTGTTATACTCCATTCTGGGCTATTTTGGAACTGTTTTGTATGCCAACAATCTCCAGTACTGATGGGCAAGGGAGACAAAATGTAGCTTATAAACAAGGCTGTTCTCTGCAAAGCTTTTCTGCTTTTAAAGCACTGGTTCTCAACCTGTGGTTCATGACCCCTTTGGGGGTCTATCAATCCTTTCACAGGGACCGCATATCAGGGATCCTGCATAGCAGATATTTACATTATGATTCAGAGCAGTAGCAAAATTACAGTGGCATATGTGCAAAAGAAATGTGTTTCTCACAGTCCTGGAGGCTGGGAAGGCCAAGGTCAAGTCATTGACAGGTTCGGTGTTGGACCTGCTTTCTTCATAGTTGATGGATTTTAACTGTGTACTCCCATAAGATCACTTATCTCACACCATGCCTTTCACATCCCAAAGGTCCTTTTCCCTAATACCATCACCATTGGGGTCAAGATCTGTCTTAGTTAGGGTTACTATTACTGTGATGAAACACCATTACCAAAAAGCAAGTTGTGAGAAAAGGGGTTTATTTGGCTTTATACTTCCATATCACTGTTAATCATCAAAACTCATGGCAGGAACTGGAGGCAGGAGCTGATACTGAGGCCATGGAAGGGTGCTGCTTACTGACTTGCTCCTCTTGGCTTCCTCAGCCTGCTTTCTTATAGAATCCAGGACCACCAGCCCAGAAATGGTAACACCCACAGTGGCCTGGGCCTTCCCCAATAATTCCTAATTAAGAAAATGCCCTAGAGGCTTGCCTTTCTTAATTGAGGTTCCCTCCTCTCAGATAACTTTACCTTGTGTCAAGTTGACATAAAAATATGCAGTACAGGAGAACAACATATGAATTTGGAGAGGGCAGGTGAGCATTCAGACCATAGTATCTCCAAATCTAGAAGTTCAGTACATTTCCAGTTATTTGGTAATTAGAAATTTAAACATTTGAGAATATATATGTAAATATTTTGACAAGAGGTAACCTTTGATATAGATTTGGGTTTTTTTGTTTGTTTGTTTGTTTTTGTTTTTTGTTTTTTCCCCCCTGTGAGTAAAATTTTATTTTCTCCAGGGAGCAAAAGCCTAGTTGGCATTACCATGACAGTGTAGTGACACACTGAATGCCAACTCCAATCTTTTTTTTCTTTATTTTTGCTTTTTTCAGGTTACAAACTCAGCTGACAACTGTCCTGGCCAGATGACTCTTCACCTCCACCCTTCGTTGGTGTGTGGAGGAGATGGATTTACTCACTCCACCTTCGATGGCTGCATTGCCTCTGCCCTGTGTGTCATGGAAGCTTTGAAGAATCATATTTAGTGTCTATGTTCTTGTTTCTACATTCTCTTTGGGACTCTTTGTTTTCACAGACCTCTGCTATGAATTATTCTGGTTTTTCTGTGGAGAAGAATTACTTGGAAAAATTTAAGTCTCATTTTTCATATGAAATATAAAAACAATGTAATAATATTGATAGCTACCACCCATAGTAAAAGGATAATTTCTTAGACTTTGCTCCTTCCCTGCATTCTCTGATTTTCTATGACTGATCCTTGTTAAAGTAAAATAATTCTTATGAGGAACAAATAACCATCCACAGAATTATACTAAACCAAAGTTCCCATTTATGGGCCCAAACCTTTGTTATCTTTTTGAAAACTTCAGTCCTGAATAAAGAACAACCATTACCAAGTCTTGTGTTATAACTTCACACATATCCTTGAATTGACATTTTTGCAAATTATTAAAATGTAAGATTTCTCTGAAATGTGGAATAATTTTTGTTTCTCATTTGCTTTCCAAGTTATTAAGGCTCTGGGTAGTAGGTCACATATGTCACCAGACTACAGTCTGAAGAGCAGCTTGACCCACAAAAGGACCCCCGACAGGTTGGCTGAAAATGACATGAATCTTCATTTGCCAAGTTGCAGAGTACTTTTTAGCCTTAAAGCAAATTTCAACCTTCATATGTGAGATAAAAATTAAACAGAACTGAGAGGAAGTTTATCAGTCTTTAACATGAGATCTCCTCGGACTGCTGCTGTCCATCGTACCACTTGCACTGTGCCACGGCTAATGAACTTCCTGTTGGTCAACAGAAATCCTGCTGATCAGAGAATAAGTGCATTTTAAATCTCTCAGTATTTTCTAACTTAGCCATTTGGCATGTCACCCATATACTTCAGTATTTGGTCCCATGATTGCTGGCTGGAGAAAAATTGAGCCTCAGGTTTTCAAGTAAGCTATTTCTTATTAATTTGGAAAGCAAAAATTATGACAGTCTGTCTTAAAAAAAATAAATCTGTGTGTGTGTTTAGGATGCAGTTTATTGCGTGGTGGTGGTGGTAGGTTCTCCTCTAATATCTCTAACCTCATGAGCCCTGGGTAGTTGGCTAGCTTTCCGGTATTCGGCATGATTTTCATCTTGTTGAGAAGACTTTGGGTTCTATTAGAGAGCTGTTGGTTACCATTAATATATGAATACTACTATTGCTTTAAGGATGTATTGCCATGCTGGTTATTGTTGTGGTTATAGGTATCCTGTTGTGGATAGGACTATGGGTTTCTTCCCTCCCTTTTAGCCAGCTTGCCTAGCACTTTCTAGTACTGGGAAAACATGTCTCAGGGAAGAGGTTTTCGGGTCAGATTCAGCCTTATCCTCTATGTTCTATGTGCAAAGTGTCTACAATCATAGGGTCTCCAATCTCTGGGAGGCAACAAAGAGAAACAGCGATAGCATATGTTGTTTGGGGGTATCGCTTGGATTCTCTTGGCCAACAACTGAAAAGGGAGATTTCTCATGCATGGTGTTGGGGTTTTTGATCATCTATGGAATCTAGTAGCATGGTCAGCCTAATTATAATAACTTCATCTAAACTATATTTATCACTCACCAAGGAAATCTCTCTTTGTACCTAAAGCTCAGAGTACATCTTGGATGAGTGGGCAAAAGGATTGTGAGAGTCAGAGGACCAGGAAATCTGCAGTAAAACTGTGTCTCCTAGAAATGATAGGGAAGCTGTGCTCAGGATACCTCAACAGTATGTCTACCTAAAGAGACCTGAACAAGGACTCCAATGGACATGTTAAGGTGGAAAGGGGAAATATCATGGGACCCCACCCCTAAACAAAGAACTACAGGGAGTGAAGGAATGCTGAGAGAGAGAAAATTAGGCTTCCCAAGGAGAAGCCTCCTAATTGGTTATCAAATCCTGTAGATGGAAGCTTTTTTCAGTCCCAAAGAAACACAGAGGCTTATATTAATTATAAACTATTTGTCCTATTAGCTCAGGCATATTATTAACTAGTTCTTACAACTTAAATTAACCCAGAATTCTTATCTATGTTTAGTCACATGGCTTGGTACCTTTTCTCAGTGTAGCATACCTCATCTTGCTTCCTCTCTATTTAGGTGGTGACTGCAAACTGAGCCTTTCATCTTCCCAGAATTCTCCTAGTCTGGTTGCCCTGCCTATACTTCCTGCCTGACTACTGGCCAATCAGCACTTTATTAAACCAATATAAGTGACAAATCTTTACAGGGTACAAGAGCATTATCCCACAGCAAAGTCCCAAGTGGTTAGCTCTGAAATCATATACATAAAACAGTACTAAACAGACTCGGCATATTTTATTCAGATATTTATTCATATATGTAACAATAATTAAAGAAAAAAAGGCCATGAATTTAAAAGTGGGAAGTAGACATGGAAGAGATTGGAGGAAGAAAAGGGGAAGGGGGAAATTATGTAATTATATTGTAATCTTTAAATAATTGAAAAAGAAACAAGTTTAAGGCTGTCCTCAGTGTTGCTATTAACCAAAGATGGCCTTAAATTAATGATCTCCCTACTGTCACCTCCTGAATACTGGGAAATCAGGTGTGTATACTATGGTCTTGGTTACTTTTCAGTTGTTGTAACAAAACACCATAACCAAGACAACTTGAAGAAAGGATTTAGTGGGACTTAGTGGGATTTAGTTTCAGAGGATGAGTCCATGACCAACATGGTAGGAAGCTTGGCAGCAGGCAGACACAACACTGGAGAGCTTACAACCTGAGATACAACCATGAGGTAGACAGAGATAACTGGAAATGACATAGGTCTCAAAACCCATCACTAGTAGCTTCCCTTCTCCAACAAGGCCACACCTCCTAATCCTTCCAAATAATTCCATCAACTGGGAACTAAACACTCAAATACAGGAGCCTATGGGAGCTATTCTCATTCAAACCACCACAGCCACCATGCCCTGTTCATGTGGTACTGAGTACAGACCCCAAGGCTTGGCATGTGCTAGGCAAGTACTCTACCTGCTGAGCTATATCTCCAGCCTCCGGTTTTGTCATTTTGAAAGCAAAGAAATAATTGTTTCAGATTCCTAAACTAGGAAGTATTTATCCAAAGAGTTTGTCTCTTGGCAGTGTTTAAGTTGCATTCACCTACTTGTTCTTGCAACATGAATACCTACACAAGCACTGGCAGAGCTTTCTGGTTTATCAACAAATAAGGACCTGTTTCTCTGGAATGTGAGGATAGCTTGCCTTTTAGCAATAAATGGGCAAAACTAAAAAACTGAAATGTGGCTAGTGCCACTTCATTTGAAAGCATTAAAAGGAAAAATAAAATGTAATTTCTGATATAAAATAATGGAAAATGATTTATTGCATGATACTGCTCCATGTTTGATGAATATTTGTCTTTTTTTCTTTCAAGTACCTAAAGAGTCATTCAGTTGTCTTTATTATTTTGTTTTAAACAAATATATGTCTGAAGTCATTGGGCAGAAAGTATTCTGAACCTTTAAGAACAATGGCATGCCTGTGTCCTATAAGGGAAGAAAAACTTGTAAAGAGAGAAATGGGTTAGTTACATAATTATTCTTCCAAGCCATCACTAAAATGTTTCATAGCTATTGATTCTAAGCATGTTATCCCACTACTTCTGTGAGTTTTGGTAGATGCTGACAATGTGAGCATCCACCCCCTCAATACCTAGATCATTGTCACTTCACTGTTTCAATCATTCTGAAGACCCCTACTGCATTTGAGTTTCCATTTGCCTCTTCCCCTTTAGAAAAGAACTAGCTAAGGAAATCCATGTCCTGGTAGCTACCGGAAGGATGCTATAAATACTGTAGGGTCAGGATGTCCACCATTACCCCCCTGAGACTATGGGAGTCGGCGACACATCAAACAGTCCCGGGGGTGTATTTCTACCTCACAAGACCACACATCACCAGTGTATTTCCAAGGAAGGACTTCTGTTAGTAAAGCTAGCCAGCGATAGCTGCTGTGTTTTGAAAGGAGCATATTCTGGGGAGAAACGGCTTGAGCCTGAGTCGTGGGGTGATTTAATACTTGAGAGCTGATAAATATAGCCTTTGCCGGAATGAAACTTTATGATGCACGTTGAAAAGCTTAATTACTGAACTGTCTCTGTGCATCTTGCTCAGGCAGCCAGGATGACAAATCACAGCCGTAGAATAGCGTTTGCACCTTTGACATTTCTAAAAGAGAAGGGTATGCCTAAAATCACTGGGAAAGCAGTAATAATCCCAGACCAGATATTACTGAGCAGAAAAAAGACACTTCTTTGAGTCACCAAGCCTTTTGCACACAATGTCATCATACCCACCCCCCACCCCCACCTACCCACCGCTTTGTTAAGTGAAAAAGAACAAGGTCAGTTTTACATTCTTCTGGCATCGGGTCCTTATGGAAGCAAGTGGGTATGTATCCTTCTGGTTTCCTCTCCCCAACACCCCTGTGAAATAATCAGGACATAAAATCCTTGTCCACTTTTAGCAAATAAAGAAACCAAGACCCAGAGCTTGGCCAACCAAGGTCATATAATGACATGCCCGGACAAGAACCCACTCTTCCCATGACCCGTTTCTATTACTGGCACACTCGGCTTCCAGATGATCATGATAATTACAGCTGGCTAAAACAGTCATTGGAGAGCAGTCCACACCATGTGGTCTTCCTACTGCTGCTTCATTTCAGAGAGCTAACACTAATCCTGGCGTGATATGTATGGAAGTTTGATGTGCAATAAAATCTCCGTAAGTACTGGCTAAGTGATTTATATGCCTCTCGTTCCCGGTTCCATTGGCTGGCTTATCACCTTCTGGGGGTGGGGAGTGAACTTCAGGGGTGCGTGCTGTGGAAATAGCTGCATAGTAATGATACTGAATTTCCATCCAGCAGTACTTGTTTCGCTTCTGATCCATCTGTTCTGTACATATTTCTTTCTCCATTTGTCTCCCTTGCTTCATTCTCTTCCCCTTCTTCCATCTCTTCCTTTCCAGTTGTTTCTCCTACACTTAATTTCCATGCATAAATCCAGTCTCCATGTGATCCACAGTATCTGCCCTTCCTTGGATTTGTTTTTGCTTTGTTTTGTTTTTGTTTTTGTTTTGGTATATCAGGATTTTGTGGTGGTTGTTATTCCTGTTTCTAAAATTTTTAAATATTTAATGTTGCTTATTATTCCACAACTCTAGTTTCTGATTTCCAAATATATAAAAAAATAATACAAAACTTTAAAAACTGACTGTAGCTTTCTCTGATCTCAGTGCTAATAACCTCAAAAAATTGTGTAATATTTTTTTACACTAGATTACTTTTCCTGTCACATATGTGCAAAAGTGTACTGCCAGGTCTATAGTGAACGCTTGTGATACAG